GGGACGGGGGCGGGCGGCGGCCGGACTCACCGAGGCAGCGGATGTGGAAGCCCGAGGGCGGCCGCAGCGCCCGGCGCGTCCAGCCCTCGCGCAGCGCCTCCAGATGCTCCTCCTTGCCCTGGATCAGCAGGACCTGCTCGTCGATCCAGCCCAGGAAGAAGGTCTCGGCCACCGCGGCCGTGACCTTCTTGTTCCAGAAGTGCTGCATGTTCTCGGCTTTGAAGTCGGCGAAGATCTCGTAGCCGATGTGGTGCCGGGCGAGCTGGCGGGGCTGGGCCGGGGGCGCGGGGTGGGCGGCCCCGGACCTCTCCGCCGTTGGCCCCTCGGCCGGGCCCAGGACGATGGCCAGAGAGTGAGGCGCGATCTGCAGAAACTTCTCCATCTTCTGAAGCAGCCGGCGCCCCCGCCGCGCGGCCCCGGCTCCCCGCCGCCTCCGCCTCCCGCCGCTCCCGGGAACAGCCGCCGGAACGTCGTTGCGCGACAGGCGGGGAGCGCTAGTGCCCCCACCCGCGCCGGGGCTGGCCTCGCCCCAGCCGCCCGGGACGCCCGCGCAGCCCCAGGGTCGCCGCGCCGCGAAGGGGACCGTGCGCGGAGCCCGCTCGGGCCCGAGCTCCGGCGCGCGTTACCTGCAGCTCCGGGCCACCCTCCGGGCACCGCTCATTTTACAGCGGCGGCACCCTCGCCTCCCTCGGCGCCCGGCGGCCCCGGCAGGGGGCGGAGACGCGGGAGGAGGAGGGCAGTTCGCGCCGCGTCCGGGGAACCCTCTTGGCTGGACTTAGCCGGAGAAATCTCCAGGAGTCCGAAGGGGGAAGGTGTTCGAGGTGGCCCAGAAGGCCGGGGGGTGTGCGTTTAGGTGGCAGGGCTCAGAGGAGACCTGGAGGCCGAGGGGGGGGAGGGGCGGGGGAGTGACACGCAGGGCGACACTTGGGAGCAAGGATTCCCGAGCGGAGTGTCGCTCCTCCCCACGCTCCACCCCCCACCCACCTCCAACCTCCTACCTCCTGCTGGAACAAGTGGATTAGCTGACTGGTTGATGGGCCCTTGGAAGTGGCTTTTTAAAAAACTGAGTCAAACCAGGAAAATGTGTCATCAGTCCCTCCTCCCGGACGCTTGTGGAACTCTCCTGTCATATCTCCATCATGTACTGTGGGCCTGCTACGGAAGAAACCCAGTAATTCCCCCTGTTATCTACACAACACTCCCTTGATGAAGAGGATATGGATATTACCAGGAAAGGCAACAATCATGCTTTAAAAGAAAAGAAAAAACTTCGTTAAGGTTGTTTCTGTGCAAAACTGTGTTTTGCTTATTTTTCATTGAGAAAAACTATATATAGTTGTCATACATCTAAAGAGATGACTATAAGAAGAAGCATTAGGGGTTAATGCTCAATGTGAATGATTTTCCCATAACAAAGAATGTTTCCTAGAATACACAAAGGAACAGTATATTCAGAAAGCTACCCCTGGAAAGATTGCTCGAAGCTTTGAAACAACAGGCTTTCCATCTTCGGCTACACTTATCTAGGCTCAAAGGTCTTAGGGCCATGTTTTAGTCAAGAGTAAGACTCAAGCTTCCCCTCTCCTTGCATCTGCAAAAAGAAAGCCCCTTTTCCCAAATGCAAGCCTTAGGAGTTCAGCCCTGAGATGTCTGCGTGAGCCCTATGGGCATACTCTTCCCACATGTAGCTCCAGGGGTTACTGTCTTCCTTGGGCAGCAATCTCGCTTGATGATAATAATAGTGTAAAATTTATTCAGTGCTCATGGTATGCAAAGGTCTTTAATTCTTACAACAGTCATTTGAGGTAGATATTACCACCCCCATTTTATGGAAGAGGAAACTAAGGCAAAAGAATGTAAGTAATTGGGACGCCCGGGTGGCTCAGTAGGTTAAGCGGCTGCCTTCGGCTCAGGTCATGATCCCAGGGTCCTGGGATCGAGTCCCGCATCGGACTCCTTGGTCAGCGGGAATCCTGCTTCTCCCTCTGCCTGCCACTCCCCCTGCTTGTGTGCTCGCTTGCGCTCTCTGACAAATAAATAAGTTAAATTTAAAATAATGTAAGTAATTTGTCTACCTAGTTCCCCAGTCATGAAGTGGTAGAACTGTAATCTAAACCTAGACAGTTTGTCTCCAAGGCTCAACCTGTGTGCTTTCACATCTGTTCCATTTAACCGACCAACAACTGGCAGATAAAATTTTCAAAAAAAGTCCTTCGACAGTGCCTCTTGAATAAATGATATTTGACATTTGTAGTAGGTATCTATTGCGGTGTAACAAATCACCCCCAAACTTAGCAGCTTAAAACAACAAACACTGATCATCTCACACTTTCTGTGAGTCAGGAATCCAGGCACAGTCCCAACCGGATGCCTCTAGCTCAAAGTCTCTCATAAAGTTGCAGTCAAGCCAGGGCTCTGGTCTCATCTGAAGGCTCGGCTCGGTGTGGATCCTCTCCCAAGCTCCCTCACATCGTTGTTGGCAGGATTCAGTTCCTTGAGCATGGTTGGATTGAGGGCCTTAGTTCCTCCCTCTCCGAAGACCCAGTCTGTTCCTGACAATATGAACATCTACATAAGGTAGCTCACAACATGCTAGATGGGTTCCCTCAGGTCACCCAGTTCGGAAATCACAATCTAATCTTGGAGGTGCCATCCTATCACCTCCGCTGCATTCTGTTTGCTAGAAGTGATTCACTAAAGCCAAACCCAAACTCAAAGGGAGGGAATTACACAAAGGTATAAGGACCAGGAGGTAGGGATCATGTGAGGTTATTCCAGAAGCTATCTACCACGACATTTAAAATGAACCAATGAAAAGGTTCCATTTTTACAATGTTTGCGATAATGTGACAAATTAAAAGGGCACCTTCTAATATAAATGCTCCCTCTCACATGCAGATAGCAAGCTCTTCACACACTTACATACACACAAAACACTACTGATCCTCTGAACAGGTAGGGCCATGTGAGAGTCTATATCATCAGAACTCAGTGCAATTAATATGAGGAGCTACTTAATCGATTCTTACCACTGTCATCACCTGCATAATCAACCTCATTAGCATCATTAGGGCTGTTTATGATTACTCATGAAATGCCAGGCAATGTGCTAAGAACTTTTTATATATGGTGATATTATTGTTTTTTTCCAGAGGATAAACATAATGGCAATAATACCTTTGAGATAAGTAGCCTAACACATTTTCATTTTCAGTAACCCTCATTTCCCAGTTATCCATGAACTCAGTTGTTTCTGCTTCACGTCAGTTTGCCAAAATCTGTCCATGAATTTAGCTTTCTTTTCTTCCTCTATCTTCCTCTCTCTTTGCCCCCTTCCCCAGCCCCGATCGAAGGTGCAAACATTACTCGGCAAGGAACTATTTCCTTCCCTAGATTCAGTATTCAGGACCTTTATGTTGACCCAAGTAGCATGAAGATTTCCTGGTTATTTTCTAAGGGAGGGTGTTCAACATTTATCAAATGCTCGTTCTTGCAAAATTCAATAAGGAGGAACAATTATTATTTCAATTTTCCCATTGAGAAAACTGAAGTTCACAGAAGTTAAGTAATTTGCCCAAGGTCAAACAACTAATAGCCAATCAACCCAAAATTTCAATGGGACCTATGACTCCAAAACCCATGCTTAATGCTTGTTCAGCATTCACTGCAGCCTCCAAGGGAACTAAGAACCCACAAGATAGACTTAATGTTACTTCATTCAGAAGAAATGCTTGCACCAATTTCCTTGAAAACACTCGGGAAAAACAATGAAGAACTATTTGAGTATTAATCAAATAAGGAACCCCCAAACCCGACTCCAACACCCTGGGGAGAACACTTGCCTCAGTTGTCTCAATCCTGAAGTTTGGGATCGAGTGGGATTTGGTGCAGGATGAAAAAGTACTGTGACTGAACCTCTTTGTCAGCATTTCTCCCCATTGCCTGCAGTCCACTGCCTGCCATTCTTGTGGGGAAAGAGGGTGTTGCTAAACTTTCTCTTGCCCAGGCTTATCAATTGCTGATTGTCCACTGGGATATAACAGAAGCTCAGACAATCATCACTCAGGGCGGTGCATTCCAGCCCAAGGGCCTTCACTTTGGAATTTCTGTTGGTGGCCAACAGTGTTTTCTAAACACTGCTTTGCCACTCCTTCATCAAGAGGTAGTCTCTCTCTCTCTCTCTCTCTCTCTCTCTCTCTCCCTCTCTCTACTTCCTTGACTCTGGCCAGGCCCTGTGATTGCTTGGCCCAAGAGAACAGAGCTGAATTGATGCTGTACCCGCTCTGGGCATAGACCTTACTGGCTTCATATGGCTTCATAGTTCTCACTTCCGCCTCTTGGAAACCAGCCACCATGTAACAAGTGCAACTCCTCTGAGATCATCATGCTGTGAGGACGCTTGAGCTAGCCACATGAAGAGGGTACAGAGAGAGGGGGGGCAGTGCCAGCCAACTCCCAGTCATGCTTGCCATCCCAGTCCCAGGAACCAGACACTTTACTCGTGTGAGTAAAGGAGACATTCTAGCCCCAGCTGACACCAAATACAGAAGAACCGGGTCCCCAGACTGAACTCCAATCAGGACGTCTCCGGGTCTTTAAGTCACTTCAGCCGAAACTTCCAACTTAGTGTAGCAGACAGAGGTGAGCCATCCCCCGAGCCCTACCTGATTGCCTGACCCACAGAATGGTGAGCATAATAAAGTGGCAGCCAGGGACGCCTGGGTGGCTCAGTCAGCAAGCGTCTGCCTTGGGCTCAGGTCATGATCCCGGGGTCCTGGGATTGAGCCCCGTATGGGGCTCCCTGATTAGCGGGGAGCCTCCATCTCCCCCTGCCTGCCGCTCCCCCCTGCTTGTGCTCTCTCTCTCTCACACACAAATAAATAAATAAAATCTTTAAAAAAAATTTACAAAAACTAAAAAAATAAAATGAAGTGGCAGCCATTTTTCATCACAGAGTTTTGGGGTGATCGGTTACAAAGCAATAGGTAAGTGGACCACTATTGGCTCTCGCGGTACCTGCATGCTTCTTATGAATTCCAACGTGTAAGAATCCAGGCCGGAAGCCGTATTTCAGTGATGTCCTGAGTGTGGTACCCATGGAAAGTCAACTCATACAGAGAAAAAGGAAATGCTGCTATGTTATTTTTATATCACCAGTGTTGTAGTTGGATTTAGACTAATAAGTTGAAGGCACCAATTAATGTGTCAGGAACAACGGCATCTGCACAAACCACTTAATAAAATCTTGCTGCAGTAGGAGTCCAGAATTTCCACCGAGCTTCTATAACCATGGGGTGACCACTGGGTCCAATTAAAAGCCTCATAATGAAACAAACAAACAAACAAACAAACTTTAAAAGGGGGGGCACCTGGTTGGCTCAA